ACATATACTGCAGTGTGTGTAGGTAGGGGGGGGCGGTGGTTGATGAGAGTGAGGCGCAACCCAATATTTCTTACGATAGTTATATACTGCATAGTTACTGTAGATGTTAACTACATTTTCAGAATGTATAAGCATGGCGGAGTATGGTGCAATGTTGTCTGATCCCTATCAGTCGGTATGTTGGAAGTGCGGATGAGGTTTTCGCGGATTTGTGGGACTTGAATATCATTTGGTTAGGGAGTAGACAACCCTCATCTTCATCAGTCTTTCTTGTATTTTATTAAATTGTGGGATAAAAATATAAGCTATTTCATAGAACTTGTGGGATGAGTGAATAGGTTTATTTTATAGGGTTTGTATTGACGACATGTCAAATTCATTTACTGATATTCTATCAAAAAGTAGTGATTTATTACTTCAGTTTGATCCGCCTTCTGATGCATGGTTGTTTTTACTTGCATTGCCACTTGTTGGTCATACAAATAAAAATAAACGTCAAGATGGAAATTTTAAAATTACTTTTGCATCGTTCACATTGAAAAACTGGTCTTTCAATAATAACAGTGTAAAGAACACTTTCACCTCGTTCAAAAGTCAATATTCAATGGAAATGGTACAATCACTCGGTTACGTCTTTACCGATAAATACATGAATTCATCTGATGTTCAAGAATCATTTAAAACGATCGAAAGACGTTCCACGCATGAATTTTACGAGTTTTGTTGTTTAATTCAAACACATTTGAAAGAAAACCATTGTCTCTATTTCAAAGACTTAGCCATAATGAATAATGGAAACAAAAATGGGTCCATCAGTACGTCGATTCGTATGACTTCTGGGGATAATCAACTTTTTCTTATTCGTTGTGCTGTCCTCACTCCAATGCGTCTGACATTTAAGTCGTTGAATCCAGAAATTGGCAACCGAGCAGTGCGACTACGAGGTTCTGATAATTTCATACGAGTCTATATTCGAGATGAAAATGATGAAATATTCGATACATTAGATGTCAATATTCGATCGCGATTCAAATCGAAACTGTTCACGAACGGTATTACGTGTATGAATAGAGTCTACTACTGTCTTGCCTCATCAACAAGCCAAATGAAAGATTTTTCGTACTGGTTCATAGCACTGAACGACGGAGAAACAACTGATCAAGTACTAATGCAATATGGTGATTTTTCTGGAATTAAAAATTTGGCCACATATGTCGCTAGAACTGGTCAGTACTTTTCGACATCAAAAGCAACTGGTGTGAGTGACACATAAATGGTATACTAATCACGCAAAATAATACATTTTTCGCTTTAGATACACCTGAAGTATATCAATACAAGAGAAATCAGATTGCCAGAATCTGCTCAATCTGAATCAATTTGGTCACCCCAAGGGTTATGGACACAAATTTGGTCATCTTTTAGTAACACCGTGAATAACTTGTCTCATAATGTATAATACGGAAACTAATTTTGCTTTTTCCATCATAGACGAGGCCTCACGTATATCAACAACAAAAATATTCAGTATTTCTTATTCGAGATATTAAAGAAAACGGTTATTGTTTTACTGATGGATGTGGTCTGATATCGTTGGGATTGGCTCAAGAAGTTGCAGAAAAAATTGGTTTACCAGTAAAACAACCCGTAGGAAAACTTTTAACAGAAATCTGTATTGGATAAATAATTATTGTCTGTTTAGCGCGATATACCATCAGTATTTCAAATACGAATGGCGGGATGTAAAGGAGTGTTGGTTATTGATCCCGAATCAAGAGACACCGATTACTATATCAAAATTCGCGATAGTATGGTGAAATTCCTGAGTAACGACTGGACATTGGATATATGCGATTATTCTAGGCCAGGTAAAGTTAATATATGCTACTACCACCATTGTAGTTGTGACTTTTCTCCTTGTCTCTAGTGCCTTTAGCCTTAAACAATCAAGTAATACGTCTGTTCAGTGATCTCGGAAATGGATTTGATGTATTTGAATCACTACATATCGTATGTCTAAACAAGCCATGTGGCATGCGCCTGAAAATTCCTATTTAAACGTGTTTGACAGCGAATTAATTGATCATCAACAATCACGTTATTTGAATGTGTAAGAATATTCATTGTTCTCAGTCGCGATCTTAGGGTTTTTTTTTCTTGGATTTGTGTAGCAAAGAAAATCTGTTGCGAAATAAAATTCCTCTTCCAGTCAATGAGGCACGTAATCTTTTTGGTGTTGCTGATCCCACTGGTCTATTAAAACCTGGTCAGTGCTTTATACAGTACACAGTGATATCAAAAGCAAAGAAAAAAACTTATAAAGTTGTTAAAGGTAAATAAAATTTATTCCTCGACTAGTTTACTGTTTCAAATTATGTTTAGGAACGGTATTGGTGACAAAAAACCCATGTTTATATCCGGGCGATATTCGAAAACTTGAGGCAGTTGATGTGCTGATATTGAGACATTGCAGTCGTGACTGTATCGTCTTTCCCGTTACGGGCTCTCGTCCTCACAGTGATGAAATAAGTGGTTCTGATCTCGACGGCGATCAGTATTGGGTCTATTGGGGAAATGATTTAAAGATCAATCACCCCATTGAACCATTGTCTCATTCGTCAGCAGAAAAACTAACCGTTCCAAATATCACAAATGAGATGGTGATTGACTACTACTTAGACATGTTTCAATCGAAATGGTACTCGCTTATAGCCGATGTGCACATGGTTCTCAGTGATAAAATGGAACAAGGCACTCAATCAAAAGAATGTGTCGAATTGGCAACGTTGTTTTATCGAGCGATTGATTCGCCGAAAACAGGTGAAATTATCAATATGGATAAGGTTTTTAGATGGAGAGATGAATATTGCACTAGTTATCCAAAGTTTATGATGAAATTTGATCGACCTTATTACCCGTCAACATCGATTCCTGAAAAATTGTATTTAAATGCCAAGTCAATTGAACTCGGAAGAAAAGAGAATTATGAACGATACCAGACAACAGGTACGCATCAGAACAGAGTATCAACGTCGAATATGAATAATGTCGTATTAGAACATGTACAGCCCTCGTCTCTACTTCAACATTTACTCTAATTTGCATATGGTATGTATCTGCTTAGAATATAGGACCAGTGCATTAAACGCAGACCCGTGGATACTTTTCGATACTATAGAAAGCTTAACTTTGAAATTTTTAAACAATTTTTTTTTGTCAATACTATTACTTACTAGTTTTGTCTTTTAGTAATGTATCTATAATAAAGCAAAATGTTTCTGATATTTAAGTAGCTGCTAATATGAAATTGAACCTTAGATACAACTGAATATCAAAGCAAACGTAAGTGAGTTGAAGTGTCATCGAAGACGTAAGCGACTAAAATAATACGACAGACATTAAGTTAATTGCTGTCAGACTTTTAATTAATAATCTCAAGCTGATGATTCCAGTAGCACCTAATATGAAGTAACTTAGTTTTGTGCGAATAAGATGGAGGATAGTGAGTTAGATAAAAGTTGAACGCGATGGTTTCTAGTAGAATTCTTATCTTATGCTCCGCAGTAGTATAACTATAACAGGTTTTTTAATTTGTTTTCTTTTTGGTTTTAATGAAATAATTGATAAAGCAAATACTGTGCGTAATTACATGACGTGTTTGGATATAGAATGAGTCCCTTATTAAAGCAAAATAATGAAATAGAATGCTGTTGTGCTCCGCACAAGTTGCGATGTGGACAGATTGTGGCTCTCAGAAAACTGAACGAATGATTTTTCCAGCAAATTCGCAGGTCACACCTCTGATGTGATCACCTCGTTGAGCTGCTTTTAAGGAAAAAGAATTGTGAACGAAAATCGGACAAAAGAGAAAAAGAGAAGAAAAATTCTGTTTCCTTATGTTGAACGAATGTTGCCGAACAAAAAACTAAACACAAAGTGTACAAATGCTTTAGTCAAATATAGTTTACGTAAATCCCTAAAAGAAAACAAACAGTAAAATTCCTAATTAAGGAAACGCTAGAATGTTCTTCCTTCTTATGATAAATACCTAAAGAAATAAATTTTTAAAAAAGGAATTATCTTCTGTTCTCTGTTTGATGTTGTTTTTCTAACAGTGTCCAATATTTTATATATATATAAAAACAAAATAGATCAAGAACAAAAACCAAGTGCTAAATCACAAGAGCTTTTCACTAATATTCAGTCATTTGTTGAAGCTAAGTTAACGTTGTTTAGAGGATCTTTTTCCCTTCATATCCCAAGTATTCGCAGAGTTATTAATTAATTAAGTTTAAATTTTAATGAAAATTTAAAGTTCTAGTCCTCATTTTAAAAAACTTGTAGCTTAGTCCAAAATAATCGTTGAAAAGTCATTTACGCATTGCTTGATAGTCAATGGTCTGTTGTTATGGTTTAATGGAAAAAAATTTGAAAAAAAAGCTTTTTTGAGACAATAATTTATAATTTATCATACTAATGAATAATAATTAATATCACTCTGGTACCTTACAGTTTTATTTGCAAATTAATGGTTTATTAGAAACGGTAAAGTAATACGTCATTCGACAGAGATTTCCAAGCCCTACAAAGCCCTGTGTTTATCTTTTCAAAAATGTTACGCATAAGCAGTTATTTGTACTTAGTTTCAGGCAAACGGGGTTTCTACTATGCTTTCTCAATACAACGGTCATGGATGTTTTTTAAATAACTCGAGAACGAAAAGAGATTGAGAGTTCGATTTTCAGCATTCTGTAGAGAAGGCTTTATTCTATCTTCACATATATTTGGTGCTAAAAATCTTGGTTTTTCAGGTGGTGTACCTGACCGATGAAAAGCAATGAGGTTGCCAGATTCTGAACCTGAGATGGATTTTTAATTATAACATGGTGACTAGATAGCCCAAAGTGTTTTCTACTATTCTGCGCAAGGTCAACCTCTGTATCTATTAAGGTTCGCGATTAGCAGGCATTTTCTGGAGTCACCCGTAATTCGTTACCATTTCTCTTGAGGAAATGCCTCACCCTACAACCACAACAGATAGAGAGATCGGTCTTGCGTAGAATTGTAGAGAACACTTTGGGCTATCTAGCCACCATGTTACAATCCTTCAAATTCAAATTCAATCGTCCTTTTCAAACTGACATAGTTTGATAAAGTGTGATGACCCAGTCCTTAACTGCAGTGTGAAACTCTTGCCAAAGGTCCTGCAATAACGAAGCATGATGGAGTAAAAGTCCTGCTACAAAAATTGTGCGCCATGGTCGGCTACGGGGAGGTAACGTTGCCTGTTTTCCAGAGTTAATGGAAAAATTTTGAAAAAAATGAAATTTAAATTTTAAAAGAATTTAAATTCAAAACATATGGAAGAAAATTTTAAAAATCAGACAACGTTACTCCCCACAGTCGGCCATCGCGCACATTTTTTGTATCAAAAGTCTTTTTGTACCATGCATCGTTTTTGCAGCATTTTTGACAAGGTTTTTTTCAAAATATTTTTTCATTTCCCAGCAAAATACACTGGAAAAAAAATTTTGTAACTCAATTTTGATCACTTTTTTTAAGTTTATAACCCCATAAAGGGGGTTATTGTGGCGTGGCCCATCGAACTGTACAACATATTCAAATAAAAAGGGGGGGGGACCCCTTAAAGAATATTCTTGCATTCATTCATTAGGCTTAATAATGATGTGTGATTATGTAAAATGCCACAGCGACTTGAGATAAGAAGGAAAAATAGTTCTTCAAACAAAGTTAAATTAGCTTCAATAAAAGCTATTAGTGAAAAACTATTGTAAGCTGGCACTTTGTTTGTTTTTCCTATTAAATATACTGTGCTACTGACAAAATCATTGATAAATTTTTGTTCCGAGCTCATCTCTCTCTTTTTACTGGCAAAAATAAAATTGACAGAGCTCATGTGTATCTTTTCAGAGTATAAATTAACTTCTGAACTCAAATATCTCATTTATATAAATAAAAATATAACTTTATTATAACCGAGCTCATTTTAAAGCCAAATTAACTACGCCGAACTGAAATATTTCTTCTTTCGTTCAAATATCTTTAGTTTACAGAAGACACATTGCAATATGCATCCTGAAATTTTTTCGGCTACGGAACCTCTAGTTTTTGAGAAAATGTTTTTTAAATTTATTCATGGTTTGTTGCTCCATTTTTACAATTTTAATAAAATTTTTATTTTTCGACAAAAAATGTCTGAATCTGCCGCCATTCGATAGAGCACTTTAAGATATATCTACAAAAATAATTTCATCGTTTTCGGGTCAAATCTGACAGAGAAATTTAGGCTTGACTCATGGGATCCATTTTTAGTGCAAACAGCATTTCATGTGGAATTTGATGCTAAACAACTTTTATTCTCACATTATTCTTCCAAAATGCTTCCATCGTGCAAAATCTTGTTCAAGGCTGCCATTTTTTCCGAAGAAAATAAATGAATTTTCAAGATAGAATTTTTTCAGATCAGCAATGCAAAAAGTGAAGAAGTATCTCATCTTACACAAAATGTTACCGGCAACATGAGACAGTGGGTATTTTTCCATAGAGCAGGCGGACATCTCGTTTTTTTAAGTTAAAAAATGATTATTTTCGCATAATATGGTGTTATTATGCGTCAAATATTAATAAAAGTAAAAAAACCAGAATTTAGAAAAAAAAATTTTCGATTAAAAGTTCCTTACCCTGACCCTGAATTCTTGTCAAAAAATATTTTATTGATAAAATTAATAAATTATACATCATACGATGCAATTTTTCATACTGATTCCGAATATCACATTAATTGTCAATAAAAGTGTTTCTTGGTTACAGAAAATGGAAAATGTCTCAAAAACCGTGGGTTTTGGGAAAACCTGTATATTGGTCCAGCATTTCCTCGCGTACATAGTGGATGCAGGATATGTGGACGAACATTTTTATGTAATTTGAAGTCGAATTAGACTTTAGGAAAATTCAGGATTTTTACTGCACTGGAGACGTCAGCTGGAAACACTCTTCTGTTTAGGAAAACGCCAATTTTCTCCTTAACGCTTAACTCTGAGACAGTATTTTTTTTCAGAAATGTAGGCGAAACAGTGCAGATTCCGAATATCTATACCGCATAACTTACCATATAGTCCAGAATACAAAAAAAGTTTACCGGCGAAAGACGCGTTCTAGCGGATCTTTTTTCACTTATAGGTTTTTTCCGGAAATTCGTCAGCTAGAAAAAAAATTTTTTTGCCATTATATAGTCCAGCCTTTGGCGTATTCATGAGGCTATTTGAATTTTGAAAAAGCTTATTTTCGATTCTTCTCCAAATCGCCTGTATGCCCACTGTACATGGTAGGCTATTCTATGTGTCCATATTAGTTGAAACATCTCATTTATTTTGTTACGTATCAAAAACAAAGTGCTGCTACTAATGTGCTCTTGGTCCATATTCAGAAGCGTTCTTTTCTCTCTTTTTGTGCCCATATCTGCACAGCTATAGAAAGATCATGTGTTATGACACTATTAGGTAAGAAGAAATGAAAAAAATATCACTTTTGCAAGTTGGGCGCTTTGAGCGTCACAAACTGGAATAACACGCGAATTTTAGCCTTTAGAATTGGATATGAAAAACTAAAAACTAGTGCTTGTACAGCTTGAAACTCTCTATCGAATGAGGTATTGCTTCATAAAAATTTATAACTACAACACAATTGAGCACAAAGGCTCTTGAGAACGTCAGAAAATACACTGTTTTGTATTAGATACATAAACCCTGGATAGGAACGGCAAGAAAAAGGTATATTGGTTCCAAGGTTCTCTTTAAATTCAGTTAGAAAACCAAAAACGTTTCTTAAAATTTTTCCTACTTTTTTGATTTGCGCATAGCGTAGGTGAATTAATTATCTTCTGACGTTCTCAAGATCCTTTATGCTCAATTGTGTTGTAGTTATGAATTTTTTTATATTAAGCAGAAATACTCTAAAATGGGTTATTGTAGAAAGAGTGCTTATTACAAAAAGATGCTTGGATTCTCGGTTACATGCTAGTGCAAACTGCTTTCTAACTTTTTTCATTCTAAAATATTTAAAAAACAGTCATGAGCCA